CTCAGTAGCTGATATTTCTGCCTTTGCTGTATGCCACATCTCTTTCCGTCAGCACAGGCTTAGGCAGTGAAGCATACATATTTATATATAAAACAATAAAAACTAATGATGTATCTTCTTCAATATTCAGGTTTTTTCGTTATTTGCGAGAGTTTTGTCCGTTGTCATAGTGCAATTTAGTTTAGGTTGGCATGGAAGATTTGTGCAAAAATCTTTTTTATCAAAATCAGATACTTTTTTCTTAGGATTGGAGGGGGGCTTCTCCCTAAGGCATGAAAATTAAGTTCTGACAACAGAATTCTTTTGAAGTTGTTTAAGAGGATTTTAGTCACAAAATTTTTCTGTCTATGCAATTCTTAAGAAACATGTTGAGTTTTATCTCTTTCTAAAGAAATACTCACCCTAACTGAGGCTGTAGGGCGAGAACTCCTGATATGCTTGCTTTGGGGAGTGAATACTTATGTTTTCAAGCTTACTGGGTTGCTGGCACTGCAGTCTTTAACGTGTACCCGATGGTTTTCAGCCTAGGCTTAAAGTGACTACCGCAAACTTGAGACACCAGTGCCAGTCGAATTTGTCGTTTAAAGTGAGAAGAGACAGTAGCTTGCTAAATAATTTAGAGGATCTATTTGAACGGTGCTGAGTAGCTGAAACTCTTGCTCAGCTTGTAGTCGGTTTTTATTTGGAGGAGCAGATTTTATGTATATGTGTAAATGAATGCACACGACCAAAGTGTTCAGTTCTGTTTTTTTTAAAGGTTTTCAAAGAGCTTTCTACGAAAGGAGGTAACATGCCTATTCCGTTAGTGCCGTGGGATTTGCTGACTGATTATGAACGTCGCAAGGACAGGTTTCGTGCAGCAGAAATCTTAAAATTCCTTCAGTATCATGGTTATCGCGTCTACAGGTTCTCTCTTTTTCATCCTTGATTGTCACCCCACCTTGTGTTGTTTAACAATTACTAATTTTTTGTTGCAAATTTTATAATTTTCCATGCGTCTTTTGCATCAGTCTATTACTGCAGAACAATTTTAATTGCTATAAGTACAGCCAATAATTTTCAGTTTTATTTAATCAAACAGCTGATCTTTTCCCCGTAAAATTTGAGTTTTTTCTAAAAGAACTTTTTTTGTTCGGTAATTTTCTATAGCATTCACAGTTATGTCGGCTGATATTACTGCAGCGTAGTCTAGTAACCTGAAAACCTAGACCGTTTTGTTCGTTTCTCACCTGTATTTTTTGCTCACAATATTCTTGACCCTACTGTGCTTACCTGTCATGGTTTTAGACGTTCGTGCACTGTTTTCTTGCATCCTAATATCTAGAGTTGAGATTGTAACTTTTAATCTTATACAGACTCGTAGAATCTCGGTTCACATGACAGGTTTTGATGGTTGCGTTTTTTCACAAAATTTTCTTAAGTTGAGTTTCTCACAAACTGTATATCTCTCAGTAAAAACTAAGATGCGTTGACCCTTCGTGGTTTACGGCAACAATTAAGATAGCCAATAGAACCAGAATGGTAACCAGTATAGAACACCTAGTGAAACAGGCAAAGATCCTTTCCAGCTAGACATGTACTTTTTATTTTTTTTTGTTTCGATTACAAAAAGGCAGGAAAATAATGACAGAATAGTGAAATTACAAAAAATATTAGGCACAGGTCAGTAGTATTGTAAGGAAATCGGGGGTTCAAAATAAATATATTCAGAAGCTGTTAAAAACTGTTAGTTAAGGAGCGATTTCTATACATGAGCTTGTGGTTCAGGAATTATTTGTAAATTATTTTTCATTTTGCTTTTTTCTGCTGAGGATTGGCCGTCTAATGCATCTATTTCTCCTCGTTGTTGCTGGCAGTCTGTTAGCCAATTCATTACTAATTCAACGACCAACATCACAATCGATGCGGATGTCAGAGTAGGTTTTTTACTATGAGTACGCCATTGAGTCACTGTTGTGGCGACTAGTAGGACGTTAGTAATTCCAAGGTCTCAAATCATATGCATAACAAAACTGAGTAGCTAAGCTGGATCAGTATAGATAAGCGTAAGCAAATGTAGACATGAGTATTATAAGTGACAGAAGGAGAGAAAATAAGGAACAGATTTATTCAGCAAAATAAAAGGTAGCCTGGTGACGAGAGAAGGACTAGGTGCTAACCTCCGGAATTCACGTTCCTACAGCAGCACTACAAATTAACACAATGACTGCGCTCCTACGTGATGCCATTAGTCAAGTGGCGAGGCTGAAATCTGTAGTTTGAGACTGTTAGCTGTCGTTGTTTTTCGCTACACCCTTCCTTCGTACCAGAAAGGCGGCAACGGGAGTTGAGTAACGGTATAATTCCATAGGCTTCTTCCTTCTTGAGGTAGAGAAAATGTTTTACGTCGCATAAGATCGCGTAAAAAATTAAAGGACTACTACTGTATTAGAAGTATTTGCGGTAAAATAAGATGTGTGCCGTATGAGATTCTGATTTCGACAGCGTACAATTACCAAAAGACCATGTTATTCTTTAGAGCGCGCAAAATTGAAAAGCTGTCAGTGTGAAACACTGTGACAGCTAAAATGACACTTTAATAATAAGGGTTCCGGAAGTTAGGAGGACATATCTGTATAAACTTGTTGTTATAACAGATGAATAGAAAGGGTGAAGAATATTTATTGCACGAGAAACTAACGCAGACTGTCGGTAAAAAATTTTTTGAAATTCTTGGTCCTAACTGTTACCACACTGCCATTTGAGTAAGATATGATGTCAAGATGTGGATTATTTCGCCTAAAAAAGTTATTTGTAGAGAAGGGTTTGAGACTGGGTTGTTATATTGCTCTCGTGGCACTTTTTCTTTGTTATATCCTGATATTTATCCACCAAGTTAAATGTGATAACACGTTTTTAGCTACCATCTAAAAATGAACTTTTTTGAGTTGTTCTCTGAACTTGTTAAAATTTTAAACTTGGAACGGTGATGTTTAGCAGTGATTATGAAAACTGTGTGAGTATTTTGTTGTGTAATCATTGTTAGCACTAAATTACGTTTCGCCCCAAATGTCCAAGCGTTGTCAGTGACTGATGCTTTCTCAAAATTTAATCGACTGCAACTGAACTTTGTTGGTATTTATGTTTAAGTTTCTGTAAATAACTTTGTAATTTTTGCATGTTACTTTATGTTTTGCGCTTTGCATGCTCAGGTTAGATCAGAATCAAATTATGCCACGCTCTGCACCACGCTATAGCAGCGACTTTAGTATGCATGATTCGGAGCCATCGGTCGAACGAGTAAAATCTGAAGGTGAACGAAGTTCAGTAGAAAAAAGATTTGCTTACAACTTGCTGGAGAAGCTTATTCAGTATTTGGAACAGGCTTCCGTTAAAATGAAGCCCATCAAACCCAGCCACGAGCTCACGCGACGGAACAGCTTTAGAAAAGAGGGCCAGGACGTGAAGTTTTTTGAGAAAGTGAGTTCATTCGTGTAGTAACTACTGTATGGCCGTTTTTCGCCGTCTTACTTGCTTTAAACAGTAATATGCACAGTTTTTAGCAAAATTCCCTTGATTTTCTGCAGGTTGTTTTACCCCTCATGCATTCCTATTTTAATGCGCACAAAGGATATTTCATGGCAACAAGTAGTATTGTAACAACGGGAACTGCTTCAAACAAGGAGAAGGAGATGGTTGCAAAGTTGGGTTTTACACATTATCAGTCTTTTGGATGAAATGATCTTCTCACATTTTTAGCCTCTTTTGTCGTTTGGCTTTTCTCCTTCGTAAGAAGAATCACGCTTTTGGGAGTGTAGCAAAAATCACTGTACGATGCTTGCAAGGACTCACTCAAGCTTTGGACTTGAGGTTTGCTTTGTTTCTAAGAAAGATATAGACGTCAACCCATGGAGGTAACTCGGGGCTCTTTCAGTTTGGTAGCCCAGTTTCTTTTAGTCAGTCAAGCTAATGATTGCTAATCGTAGTAGCTGTGGCCTTGTTTTATCACAACCAATCAAGAAGATGGGACCACCAAACTGAAAGGGAGCCTGTAAGTCTTGGGAGGTTTTTTTGTTGTGCAGGAATTGATGCACTGTTTTTACCCATAAAGAAAGTAAAGGTCTAGATGTTATTCTGAGCATATCATTTCTCCATTGTTGACGGTTTATGACCAACAATTATCATATTTTTTGATTACCACCAGCAAACGTAGCTTTCTTCTGAGTTACCTGTTTGGTACGTTTCAGTGTTTGTGCAAAATTGAGAGCATTTACTTCACGTATGAGTTTCTCTTTCTCAAGTTTTATTAAAGTGTCATCTGCTGTGATATTTGCATTATGTATGTAAGTATGCAATCATTTTCTGTTCACTTCTGTTTTTAGAACTTTGGTCAAGATCAATTCAGACATTGTGAGGACAAATCTTTTAACGTTTTTTAATAACTGTGCTGATGATCTGTTTGCGGCTGTTAAAGAACTACAAGAGAATGGACAGTACTCATTGCTTCGTGGACAAAACATGACTTCATGGGTTTCGCTTGAGTTTGCTAACCAGATGGTTATTCCTGTTTTGACGACAATGTTTGCTCATTTTTCAAGAAATCACTTTGGAACTGACATCTTACGTAAACTTTATTCTTGCTGATACTCAGTTGTCAATGTCAATTCATAGTTAAGATCATATTTAAACAATTTCTTCAATTTCTTTAGTTGACGAGATTCAGGCTGCTTGTTATAAAATATTAGACAGTGCTTATTTATTGACATGTCTTGGGTCACAGTCTACTCAGCGCACGACGATCGGCTTTGAGACTGACAAGTATTCAACTTTTCAATTATGCTTCTTCGACAGCTGG